AATATTGTACTCAATTATAACTGACTTTGTTGAGTGTACTAACTTAGGAAGCACTCTCCCGCGGCGTCGTACTCCGTGAGGTTCCTATGGGCTTCGACCAGTTTCTTGAGGGCCTGAAGCAGCGTGTCCTTGAGCGGTGGCTGGGGCTGCAGCCAGAGCGCGGCGCTGTCGAGGGCGGAGAGCGCGCACAGTGCCGGCCCCGGCGTGCTCAGCTGCAGCGTGGCCGCCGCACCCGGCGACACCTGCCGGCTGCTCCATCTCGCTTCCACCTGGGACACAGAAAACATAGAAGGATTAACAGGATCGCAATGCTCGCAACAAAAGCAAGGATGTATAATATTTTAGAAAAAAATTGTACATGTGTTTCAAAAACTATTTTTTTAATTTCTTGTCTTCCTCTCTGTCTATCCGTCTGTTTGTCTACAAGACAGTGTTCCATGTAGTCTCTGGAATGGCTAGACCGATTTTGGCGGGATTTGGACGGGAACGATAGCTGATGCAAGCTGGTACATAGGCAATAGGCTGCTTTTTATTTACTTGACCGCTAATCCTGGACAAACTTAGTATGGAGTAAATTCAGAAAACATACCTTATTAGCAAAACACTCGTCCATCTCGAAGTGTTTGCTGGCGCTGACCAGTTCCCCGTTGTGGTAAAAGTACGCGAGGAGATGACTGTCGGGGCACATCTGGTGCGTCACCTTGACTGGCAACATGACTCGTAGCAGATGGCGGTCCAGCAGCGCATCGCTAGCGTTCATCTCGAGCTGGTTGGAGTCTGCGTCCAGGTTGTTGAGGCCGGCGTCCAGCGGCAGCACGCGGTCCGGACTGCTGCAGGAGCTGTTCCTGGCAGCTGGCTGTATCTGTGTGCCGGAGCGAGCCGCCGCGCACTGAGTGGTCGCACCCCAGCGGTAGATTATACCACCACGAGTTATAACCTAGAAAATATATAATATTTAAATAGTACACTATATTTTGTACTTCATTTTGAATTGATTCCATATCCGGATCGGTTTAATGAGTCTGCTAATGTATTCATATCAATAAAATTGGAGTTTCTGTATGAAATATAGAGGAAAAAATATCTTTCGTACGCGTGATGCATTTAAGTTGTTGATAAGGAAAAACCAATTTTTAACATTTTTGTCTGTCTTGTAATTAAAAAAGCATTATTACCACAAAGTGAACAGTGAGAGGTTTGGTGAGAGGGCTCAGGTTGAGGTAGAGAGGCACGAGGGTGCGTGCGGCGCGGGAGTCAGCTCGCAGCGGGCCCAGCGCAGCCAGCGAGGCCGCCGCGCGCACAGACAGCCGCAGTGCAGCGCTCGCGTTCTGCAGCCTCGCCTCAACACACATAATGACATGAAAACATGAACCCTTAAAGTTCATTTAGACGTAAGCAGGAAACGTACTCGACAGTTGCTTCAGAGAGAGACAAACTTGTGAGAAAAACATATGCTTCTCACTCTGAGGCGACTGCGGAGTGTTGCTAAAGCCACCAAAAATTGTGCATCTACGTTTTCATAAGAAAAACTAGTGAAATATGTACTTCAAAGTCGTAGAAAGCGCTTTCATCGGCATCTGGAGTAAACATAACCCTTGCGATGCCGCGGCCGTCCGTGTGAGCTGACACACAAGTGTCGCGGGGGGCGGAGTTAGTGACGGCCGGGGAGGGGCCTGGCGTGCGCGGGGCGGGGCGCCGGCACACGCGCACGCTCTCACCTGACGCGGGCTTATCGTCCCAACGAGTGGCCTTCACCTAAATTAAAAAAAAAAATAATAATCCTGATTTTTTCCTGTCGTGACTTGTATCATCTTTACAAGATAATTCAAGAAAAATGACCTTCAACTTATACGGTAAGCTAGGAGACACGACTGCTCGATGCTTCGTGAGAAATTCTAGGGTGACCGGATTGTCAACAACTTGTGATACTACGGTTGTGTTTTGCCAGATTCGTGTGCCTTCTTCCTGCGGTACAAAGAATAGACATTTCTATCGATGAAGTATCATTGTTAAATCTAGCATTTAATTGACGTAAGATGTACCTGGAAGCTAAAGTCAGCTACAATGACATCAGGAGAGTTAGGTCCGGTGAGGCCGACACGGCGCGCGGCTGCAGCGTGCCGGTGACATGCGCGGGGCGCGCGCAGACGTACCGCCGTGCGCACCCCCGCGTTACCCTCACCTCCCCCCACACCTCCCGCCCCGCGCAGTCTGATCACTAGCATACCCTCCACAGCTTCCGTCCATGGGTACCTGCAAATTCACTGGGTCAAGTGAAACTTTATAAAACTTCAGTAAATTAAAGTTATATGAAGAATCATAGTAACCTAACGCAAACTGTCCACACGAGTCTCTCGCTGGTTCGCAGCACGCGAGGAGAGTGTTTCACAGTCAGCTGGAACGGTGGCAGCTCGTAGTTCCCCACCCAGAATGATGTAGAGCCCTGCCACAAACACATTGACATCAAACAATTGCAATATAAATAAGCTGTGCAGTATTAATACCGTTGTCGTCTTGAAGCCAAGACACATTTTTGCACTTACGCCGTTGCAGTAAGTATGAACAGGTAGAGCACAGGCAAATTTCAAGAGAAAGTATTGTTAAATATTTAATCTGTATCCTGACCTGTGAGCCGTCAGCCAGTCGGGCTCTGACGGTCCAGATGCCGGGCGGGGCGTGGTCGTCGAGGCGGTGCTGCAGCTGCGCGAGGCCGAGGCGCGTGCGCAGCTGCCGCCACTGCGCCACGCGCACGCCCTCCCACGCTCCCCGTGGACCCTCCACCCACATCTCGTCTATCTGTAACCAGTGCATACAATTATAATACATACTAGTAATCGCCCGCGACTCTTCACTCCGTCACACAAAAAATTGGTATACATATAGAACATAGTCTGGAAAAACACATGGGCTATTAATTACGGTTTTTTAAATTCCGCGTGGATGAACTCGCAGACCGCAAGAGATCAACAGATCTCGCGGAAATTTGGCATAGATATAGAACATAGTCTGGAAGAACACATAGACTACTAATTTTTTTTTATTCCGCGCTGACTTACATATTACATGAGTCTCAAACATGATATTAAAATGACCTGGATTCTTGATTTAAAATTTACAGTTACAAATTAAAAACCAAACAAAAAATACTTGGCAAAAACATTTCGCGTACGAACAAATTGCATGGTAAGTATTTATTTAGTCGCGTTTACTTGCGGTTCGTCCCGGTGACCTTAACCCACTGACCCTATTGCACGCGGCAACGAGTCTTATGAAAAAAAATACTTTTTCCGCGTTCACTTATTTTTTTTTTATTGTAATTAATTCTTGGAAAACTTACTCTTTATCGATTTCAGATAGAAAACAAAATGCATTGTGTTTTATTACATTTTATGATGATTAAATTTTGGCTAATACATATTTGAAAACGTCCATTTTCATGCAGAGATTTAAGACATGGCTCCAATTGATCTGATAAACTTTTTTTTTTAATTCACATTGTTTGTTGTTTTATTAGTGGCCAGTGTTTAATCCTTATAAAATTGCTATAATCATTAAATTATACATATATTTATAACTGGGTTTGTTTATTAATAATGCGCACTCGAAGTGTGCCAGCATGCCAACCGGTCCCAGCGCTTGTCAGCTTCGAAGCTCCAGCTAATGTGGACCGGTTCCGTTGGGAACGAGATCAAACAGCTAAAGCTTTCGCTAGTAAAGACCAGTGTGAATTGACCACCGTAGAATAAAGTTAAGGATCCATGAATACATCAGTCACGACAAAAAATAGAATCGAAGATTTTCTTTTACCATATTACTATGCAATTAATGTTGGTTGGTATGTTTCCACCGCCGCAATACATGTACATAAACATTTTCATGTCTCTTATTCTCTTTGAAAAAAAAAACATAGAGAAAAGAACAGAAAGTAAAACGGAGTGATGTCAAAACATTGACGTGACGGATATGTTTATGTACCCTAACTCGTTTGTCGAGATCGTGTTAAACTATGCAATTTAAATGTTACTAATATACAGTTAGGTTTCTTGAAATCTACTTTAAATTTAATTTGTTCTAGATCATGGAAATGTTCTTTAGTCATGGCATTTTTTTTTATTTTGTGTTCGGATATTTGTGTCAAGTTAAAGAGGAATGTGACTGGCAGACAATGGCTTTCGACTCGAAATTAAAAAGTATATCCGAAAAGAGGTCGCACTTATGAAAGTATTAAAAAGTAATAAACATTATTGTTGACAATATAACGGCAATTTTAAATGATTCCTTTTTTAAATTTTTAAACGATTTGCGACGTTCTCTTGCGTTTTTATAAATTAGGTTACACCGTCATTGATAAAGTTTATTGAATCGCGTAGTATTCAGAGGATTTTAAACATTCGTAAAAAAGATTAGAAATAGTTGCCATTTCAAGTTCTGAAAGTAACATGAATATGAATGCACTAAATAATTTGCTAAATAATTTACTACTCGTTCGTAGTATTTGTGTTTGAATATTGGGTCAGTAATTTAGCGTTTAACATATCTCTATTAAAAGACGTTACCATTTCGTTACAAACAACACCCAGTTATGTCGTAGTATTTATATAAAAAGGGAATATTGCTTTAATCAATCATTGGCAGCTGTCCAAACTGGCAATTTAGCAAATGACAGATCGTCGCAATTCCCCGTACACTTTACCAAATGACGGATCGTAGACAGTTACTGCAACATAGCCTGCTATTCTACGCATATACGTTTTATTGGTAAGAGTTACATCTTATATTATTAAAAGGGTTATATCTTAAGATATGTAACTTTTTTCGCTTCATCTTTTAAGAGAGGATGGCTAACGAAAAATTTACATTTGTAAAGCCAACAATATGTGTAAAGCTATTCAAAGTTTTTAAATTCCATTTCTAAGTTTGTACTTACGAACGTGTTTTAATATATGAATACAATGACATGTTTTAATTATAATGTTTAATCAAATGAGTATTTAAATAACAGTGAGTTTATTATAGATAACTATAGGTAGCGTGGTCGAGACTTCTGATACGCTGGTTAAAGCAGTACATCGGAGGCGTGGGTTCGAATCCATATGCTACCGGCATGTAATACTTCGCCTCTGAGTGTTTTGGCGTGAATTTTAATAAGTTATATAACCTTCTTGACAATTTTACTATTATTTGTAAACAGAATTTTTGAAATAATCCTAGATTATCGCAATCAAACAATAAAGTCTACAGATGATAAATGATATATCAAGTTTTATGAATGCTATTGCGATCGGTGAAAAAAACAAATGTATTATAAATACGACGATTAAATAAATAAGGTTGGAAATACCGAATACAATCGAAACAGGATTACTGAAAACGTCTATAATAAAAAATAAGGTCACTTGGACTCTCCCTTATCCAGGGTCGACTGTAAATTAAATCAGTGTAGATAAAGGGATTACTTACGTTTCCATGTGCCGGTGTAAGGTCTGGCTTTAGCGCGAATGCGCGCACGCGCAGTGTATCACCTGGGCGTAGGCGTGCGCGTTGTACCTGGATCACAAGAACGCGCGCGCCAGCCACGCGCACTGTCAACCTACGTTCCCACGTACATCCCGCCTCCGGGTACCTAACACATTGACATGTTATGAAGAAGTAGGAATATAATAAAGAAAACGTACAGACAAATTGAAAGCCACATCCCTCTCTTTCTATCTGGCCAGAAAAAATGAGAACCTATTTGCAATCTGTTAAAAATTCGTTATGAGATTTAAAATTATTGATTTCAAGTTATCATTTCAACTATCGTTTTTTTAAGGCGATCTTTGATTTCGTAAATTCACAGTGGAATCGACCATTAAGAGTCAAAGATTATGGGATATGGCTACGCATGAGTAGAAATCAGTAAAAAGACATAAAAAGCAATATATCAAAGTACATATTCATTTTAATTAAGACTACAATCTTTGTTCTAATTAAGCCATATCTTTAATTAATTTGCTGTAACATCTACCTAAGACAATGGAAACCTGTCTTAATAAAGTCCAATATTGATAACTCTATAGTGCGGCGTTTTGCATGACGATCAAGATTTATCGTCAGAGGGCGCTGCGCGTAGATAAAACATATTTTCCATATATCCAGATTAAAATCTTTAATCTAGATTCATACGGGTGCAGCTATTGTGCCACTTGATATATGGAAAGTGGATTTTAGTGTTTGCGAAAGAAATATAGACGTGTGAACTTACGAAACAGTGTTCCATAGAGAATATTGAACTTTTACAATGTTTATGTTTTTTTAGTTGACTTCAAAAAGGAGGTTATCAATTCCGTATTTTTTAATGCGTGTTATTTATTAGCTGCCAGTGATTTTTCAGCATAGAATTATGAAAAAGGTGCCAATAATATGCCGACGTACATCAACTACTTTTACCGCCAAAGTTCTGTCAAAATTAGTGTACAGATTAATCAGAACAAACACAACCTTGAATACAGACATACAGATAAAAATAATAGAAATTGGTTTTTCGTTACTGTGTAATTTTTTGCCTAATTTACATACAGACATTCCAATTTTATTAAAATGTAATATGTATAGATGTTCCATTGACTCCTGGTGACGAATAAGGTGTACGCGTATTCTTCTTAGAAGTGTCATGAGTATAGACAATCGTTTATTGTTTTTTTAATGACCTATTGCATGGTATTATAAGGCATAACCAGTGTCCATTCTTTTCATAGTTATTGAAGAGTAAGGTACTTTAAAACTATGTAAAATATCTTGTTTACAAAACCAGACATTGCATTTAAAGTAGAATTAGCATTTCTGGACTACAGGGTAGCGTGGCCGAGCGGTCTAAGGCGCTGGTTTAAGGCACCAGTCTCTTCGGAGGCGTGGGTTCGAATCCCACCGCTGCCAGATCTTTTTTGTACACTTTATGAAGAACTTACCGCATATTGACAATAAGATCAGCTTTGGTGTTGGGCCGCAGCGGCACTGATATGTCGAGGCAACCACCGTCACCTGATAAATGCAAAATATTAGTTTAATGACTATTTAGTGAAGGTTAAATGACGAGACTAGCTGCCACTTGCGAATACGTCTGCGCAGAATTAAAAAAAAACTTATTAAGTAGTATATATGTTCTTCCAGACTATGTTCTATATCTATGCCGAATTTCATCGAGATTCGTTGAGCTGTTTTGGAGATATCTAACAATCATCCATCCATCCATTTCTTGATTGTTAATTGACAAACCTGGTGGAAGATCTCTAGCTGCGGTGGTAGATTCTCCATTATCAGCTAGCAGTGTGATAACCATGCGTGCTGGGCCTTCAGGATGGAAACGGGAGATGCAGGCCCGATTGACTCCGCCCGCGCTCAGTACTCCCGGCGCCAAGAATAAGTGATTTTTATCAGTGCATGGAACATTTCTAGAAGAAAGAATCAAAGCGTGTACATAGAACACTCCCTAAAATGCCTAGAAGAGTAGCATTGTTTCAGACTAGTAATTTTAGCACTATCTATAGCTTAATTTACGTTCTACGCTAATGTTATGCCTAACAGTAATTTTTTTTTTATATGTAAGAAAAAAATTAAAAAAACACTTGGCCGATTACATTCTTTAATTATTACAATACTACGTTGTCCTTAAATAACATAAGCTATATTTAATATATAGTTAAAAATACGTTTGTAGGCGTATGTATCATAATAATTGTGAGAAATATCTATAGCATGAATCTCATCGTTTAGTTTAACAAATGTTAGCTTTGATTATCTTTTATTTGCATTGCATTTGCTCTGCGGGAGATGAACTTTAAATTGCACAGACTATACATAGAACATGGTATGCTTGACTCATTTCGCTTGTACTACGAACAAAAGCTATTTAAGTAGCTGTATTAAAATCAAGCTAACGCTTGCGCTAGATTGTGTGTAAGAATTGCGAATTTAAAGCTAAATTAATAAGGATTTGTTTTATTAAATTTTATGTTATATTGTTAATCTAGTCGAAACTACCAAACTACCTTTACTCGAATCCAAAACTCCAATCTTTTTCATCAAAGCGAAGACACAAATATGTAGTACTGATATTAATTAGATTTTAAAGATTAATTATAAGGAATTACTCATTATTCTTTGTAACCTAACATTTAAACAATAATATTAAGCACAACAATAATTGAACAAAAAGCGCGCGAAAAAATTCCTGCGCCATTTTATGGTTAAATAACGTTACACAAGATAATATTTATAAAAAAAACAAAGAACAAACAACACATAATTCTACTACATAAAAGGATATTTAACGAATTTTTGTTTATAAACAAACCTGGTGATGTTCTGCGTATTTCCAAACACGTGGGCAGACGCCGGCAAAAACAAACATAAAAACCACAACATGTCTGAATAATTAAACTTTACTTCTATGAAAGTTAAAATTTTTATATCACTATAATAAATTACAGTTCACATTTTTATGATTACATATTTTTGAACTTTCAAATAACAAAATACACAGTTTAAAATATAAAAACAAACACTGAATACAATAAACTTTTGAATACTCGTATTAAAATAATATAACCAAAGTTTTTACAATTAAAAAATTGTATTAGTCACTAAAAGTGTAATCGATGTTATATTAAGATTAATTATGAATAAATATTATCGAACGCGTAACAAAATACTTCGTAATATGTGAGTCGTCTCGCGTACGATTGCTAACTGACCGTCGCGTGCGCAGAGGTCGCGCGAATCATTGCAGACGCGCTCAACTTTTTTATACCTCCTTTTAACCGCCATTATGTCCTGTTAGTGTAATTATAAATTACAGATTTAATTATTACTCATTAAGTATTAAAAGAACTTTTAGTATTAGTTAAGAGGAAATATATATATATTTTTATTTACACAGTTCTTCAATCAAATAATCATTTCTTCTAGATTACGACAGACTTAAAATTTGACCTATAACTTTCCTTACATGACATAGAAGTACTTAACTAGTACGAGAGAAATTATCCATAAGGAGTTGTTGATATCATCCCTGTCTATCCCTTTAGATGATATTGTGGTGGTGTGATTTAAGTGTCTAGTTTTTATATCTGCAATTCTTGAGAGAACAACTTGCAACAATCATAGTACAGTTCACAGCAATTATTAAAGTTTATAGCGTGTTGGTTGCTTCGGAAATAACATAAACTCAAACTCACCGACAATGGGACTCGGCTCGGGTCTTGATGTGAATTTTATAACGGTATAAATAAATACACTTAAATGCGTGTCATTATTGCTTTTGACGTGTTATTTTGGGTCATTTTCATGTTACGGATAATTGTACGAGAAATATTAAAACGTATAAAAATCAGTAAAAAAACAACAAATAAACATTTTCAATTACTGAGCCGCATAATTTTCTGTCATAAAATTCTGCCATATTCTGGTCGTCTTAATTAAATTAAAGTTTTAAAAATATTTGCTCAAGTAAATATTATTGGTACTTTTTGTTATTTCAACAGATCTTTATTCAATGTTTTCTTTGTTGGTAAAGTTCTTTTGTCTTTTTCATTTTATTTTAATTACTTTATAGTATTGCAATAGAATGTAAATCTATGAATCACACTTATGTAGGTTTAGACTTATTTATCAAAGCTTTTTTTCTTGGTAATATGCAAAAGTAAGAGTAAATGTAAGAAAGACTACGTGTTAATCTAAACCATTAATGTATTAATTTTACTGACGCATAATATTTACTCAAAAATGTAAATTACTTCGTTGCCTTACTACGAAATAATCGTATGTTATAAAATGTTGAGTGCCACTGTGTAGGTTGAAAGGTCGAGCAATGACCGATTCAAACTAAACGATTGTTATTAATTTGTACAGAGACGGCGACGTCTGGTGTTAATTACAATATTGTTGAGGCATAATGATTTAGTTCCAGCTATTGTCCTAAGCAAATTAAAGTTTAAGAATTCCGAAAGCTTTAAATGTTATACTTTTTGACACAAATGCGCTGTTACAATACATGGCAAAAACTAGAAATTGCTTAAGAAAATATTTTATAAAAGAAAGTATATTTAGGCTATCTAAAATGTTGCTTATTACGTATTATATTGTTTTCTGAAATATGTTTCATGTATAAAAGTTAAATTATGCTTTCAGGAGGTCTAACTAAAAATTCATGTTCGATTTAGTAAATTAATCTGATCGCGTATGAAATAGCTTATTTCATGTTAATAAAACTTAAAATAGCGCCATCTATATTTACATTGTTGTATGAAATAAAAATTCTGGTCTAAGAAAACTAAACTCGTAATGGTTCGGATGATGGCTGAAAGATGGCGCTTTTTATGTTTTCAGAAATTGTTCAAAATAAGCTGAAAAGTCAAACAAAATTAAAAAAGCCAGGAAGTATAAGACAAGATGACAAACGTTTTTCTGCGATTTGTAGCTTTACCAATTTTGAGGTTAGAAATTAGAAATGTCATTGGATTTCAGGTTTCTCATGATTTTATTCATAGTGTAATTTTAATTAGTAATTATTTTTGAGGAATGCATGAAAAACTAATTTATTTATAGTTGTTGTGAGATAGTTTAAATCTAATATTTAATGTTCTTGGTGTACAAAGCAAAGTTATTACAATGCAATACCCACAACAGAACAGGCAACAGTTCTCTTGTAATGAAAATGAAATTGCTTCTGTTAATCCGGTTAAGACGTTGCAGAATCAACTTGCTGGGAATGTGCAACTGCTAAATCTAAGTTTGTTGGAATTACAAGACTTATAACATTTTAAAGACGACTTCAGAGTGGATTTACGGACGGCTCGTAGTACAGCAATTTTCTCGGATATAGACGTTCGCACATTTGATTTATGACATGTTGCTTAAAAGACTTTATTGATTTTAAAATTAGGTGTATTTTTATTTTTCGTTACCGAAACAATGTTATAATTATTACTTGCAAAAAAAATTAAAAATAGAAAATAATATTTGGTACTGGAAGACCAAGAACGTCCCAACCGAAGTGCTTGGCCCTAACCACGCTGGTACTGCAAATGTGGTATGCATAAATCTTTGATTTTCATCGCAGAGACAAGTTGCATTACTAACCGTGGTTTTCTGATACCAAAATCTGTGCATAAAACATATCGTCATCCCTGTCATTATCTTTGACAAAACAGAGATAACAATATAAAGAATTTTGGATCACAGTAATCGACAATAAATCCTTCATGGTAAGAACGTCGGTATGTTTACAGTACAATGGTTAAATATTTTAAATTTAATATACATATTTAAATGATATTAATGTAGTAGCAGTGGTTATATAATCCGGGCAATAATAGAGTCGTATATAAGAGAGGGTCGGCACATTTAGCGCAGATTATGTGCCGGCGTTCGCAGGCTTATTCCGGATCACAATTTATTGTCATTACTAATTACAATGCGACGCTTTTAATTTAAATATAACGAATGGGAGGATTAACTTTGGCTATGATAAAAAAAACTGAAAGAATATTTTGTTCTTGGTAGTAAAGGAAATTAAAAGAAAATAGCAATTTGAAATTTTTAAAAAGTTTTTGTAAGTTTACTAACTAATATTTGATACCAAAATTTAGTTACTGGCTCAACACCTTACCAACACCTTTTGTTACGAAAATAATTAAAATTATAATTAAAACCTATTCTTTAGTTTCAAATTATATCCGCTGAATAATCCTCATGTAAAACGTACAATAATGAGGTTACGAGAAGTCCGTTGTTTTGTTGTACAAGACCTTTGACTTTTAAGAGGTAGGATCTGTCAAAAGTGCATTCCCCTCTGTGTAACAAAAATAAACTAAACCAAACTTGCAAGCAAGCAAGCATTGCTTGCAATTTCTCGTGTTAGTATGTGTTTAATTTTACAATTTTACTTGTGGGTATGATTTAGTTTCCAATGTTATAATATTTTTATTCACACATATTGTCTTCGCTTACATTCTCTTCGAAAAACAAAAACACATCACGTGTCAAAATGTCTTTTCAGTCGAAAGCACATTGTCACCTTCACCTCACTCGCCTTGAAAGTAATCACAACGGCCGAGTTGGCGGTTTGCCAAGTCCGTTTCTCTATAGTCAAAGTATGAGACCGCACAATGGAGCCGGGGCGGACCTTTGCCAGGTTGGGTTGCTTGCTTTTGAAATTTCAAATCTTGAAAATGGAGTGTTATACTGTATATTGTATTGGGGTACATATTGATTGGCCTAAGTAAATATTCAGCTTGTATTTTGGGATTTTATGGGTTATAAGTAATTCTACAGATGAAAGTTGATCTGTTTCTTTAAACTTAAAGAATGGAGTGTCATTCGATTCCTAACCTTCATTGGGCTGACGTCATAAAAGTGTTATCTTATCAGTAGGGGCAGGCATTGGTTTTTGTAGTGAAATCATATAATATTAAAAGCATCCGTTATATGAATATATTTACATAAAAACATCTCGTGTCACAATGTTAGTTACCATACACCTCCGAAACGGCTTGATCGATTTTTAAGAAACTTATATGCATATTCTGTATGTCTGCGAATCGGCTATTTTCTATTTTTTAATCCTACGACGACGGAGTCGCGGGCAAAAGCTAATATATTATAAAAATCTGAATTTTCATGCTCATGAATTAATTACGTAATGCGTTTCCGGTCTGATGATGACGGTTGTGTCGCTATGACGTCACGGAGGCGCTACGCGTAGTAACCGAGAGCGACGGCCGCCTCTATAATTTATTACCTTCGTATATTACAATTGAACTGAATTCAGAAAGCTTTAAAGTTAATGCTAATTAAAGTTATGAATCTATATTAATATTATATAATAGTTTTATATTTTATTAGAGTTTGTTTGAACAAGCTAATCTCAGGAACTACTGGTCCGATTTGAAAAATATTTTTTTTTGTTGGATAGTCCATTTATAGAGGACGGCTTTAGGCTATATAACATTACGTTGCGATAAATAGTTTTTTTTAATTCCGCGTGGACGGAGTTGCGAGAGGTAGCTAGTTATATATAAATGACGATAAAGTTATGCTTAGTAACTCCTGTCATCAAATAATAATTATTTAATTAGTGATTTAATACTTTTGGCAATTGTTTTTTTATTAAAGTGATAAAATAGATTCAAAAAAGATCTGGCAGCGGTGGGATTCGAACCCACGCCTCCGAAGAGACTGGTGCCTTAAACCAGCGCCTTAGACCGCTCGGCCACGCTACCATATACAAATTATTATGGAATGCATGATAAAATTAAAAAAAATAGACAAATTGGTAACGTTCTTCTTTTTGAAGTGAGTTAAAAAGAGCGGTTTAAAGCAACAGAAACCGACGTACATGTAAAATGTCTGAATGTGGATGTATTATACATGTATATAATATTAAGAGCAAACAGGCAATCTCTGCCCAAA